TCGACATTGCTAGTTTTGAGGTGTGATGTTATCATCGATACACAACAATGTGCTTACCGTATTCGACGTAATAAGCGCCCGGGGCGCTCTCAAAATTAGAAATAGGGGGCTCTTATTAGAATATTATTTTGGTGAAAAAAAACATAGATGAAAGATAAATTTCGTGGTTTATGCTGACAGCCTGAAGTGTTTATATGCGACAGATATATTTTTCCAGAATTTAATTGCCCATAATTAAGGGTGTATATAACACACGAGTGCGTATTATACGCGAATAAATAAGTCCTTTGTACATTGATCAATCGGAAGGGATGCAAATTGGGCTTGTTCACTAGCCAATATATCAGCAAATATCGCCGTGGGCGCTTATTAGAGCGGGGCGCTTATTACGTCGAATACGGTATATAGGGTTGTAACAATAGGATCAGTATACTGCGATACTTTCCCCCACAATGCTAGTTTGGAGGTGTGATGTTATCATTGATACACAACAATGTGCTATATAGTATAGGGTTGTAACAATAGTATCAGTATACTGCGATACTTTCCCCCACAATGCTCGTTTGGAGGTGTGATGTTATCATTGATACACAACAATGTGCTATATAGGGTTGTAACAATAGTATCAGTATACTGCGATACTTTTCCCCCACAATGCTAGTTTGGAGGTGTGATGTTATCATCGCTTTAAAGAGTGTGCTATATAGGGTTGTAACAATAGTATCAGTATACTGCGATACTTTCCCCCACAATGCTAGTTTGGAGGTGTGATGTTATCATCGATACACAACAATGTGCTATATAGTATAGGGTTGTAACAATAGTATCAGTATACCGCGATACTTTCCTCCACAATGCTAGTTTGGAGGTGTGATGTTATCATCGATACACAACAATGTGCTATATAGTATAGGGTTGTAACAATAGTATCAGTATACTGCGATACTTTCCCCCACAATGCTAGTTTGGAGGTGTGATGTTATCATTGATACACAACAATGTGCTATATAGTATAGGGTTGTAACAATAGTATCAGTATACTGCGATACTTTCCCCCACAATGCTCGTTTGGAGGTGTGATGTTATCATTGATACACAACAATGTGCTTATATAGGGTTGTAACAATAGTATCAGTATACTGCGATACTTTTCCCCCACAATGCTAGTTTGGAGGTGTGATGTTATCATCGATACACAACAGTGTGCTATATAGGGTTGTAACAATAGTATCAGTATACTGCGATACTTTCCCCCACAATGCTCGTTTGGAGGTGTGATGTTATCATCGCTTTAAAGAGTGTGCTATATAGGGTTGTAACAATAGTATCAGTATACTGCGATACTTTCCCCCACAATGCTAGTTTGGAGGTGTGATGTTATCATTGATACACAACAATGTGCTATATAGTATAGGGTTGTAACAATAGTATCAGTATACTGCGATACTTTCCCCCACAATGCTAGTTTGGAGGTGTGATGTTATCATCGATACACAACAGTGTGCTATATAGGGTTGTAACAATAGTATCAGTATACTGCGATACTTTCCCCCACAATGCTAGTTTGGAGGTGTGATGTTATCATCGATACACAACAATGTGCTATATAGTATAGGGTTGTAACAATAGTATCAGTATACTGCGATACTTTCCCCCACAATGCTAGTTTGGAGGTGTGATGTTATCATTGATACACAACAGTGTGCTATATAGGGTTGTAACAATAGTATCAGTATATTGAGATACTTTCCTCCACAATGCTAGTTTGGAGGTGTGATGTTATCATCGATACACAACAATGTGCTATATAGTATAGGGTTGTAACAATAGTATCAGTATACTGCGATACTTTCCCCCACAATGCTAGTTTGGAGGTGTGATGTTATCATCGATACACAACAATGTGCTATATAGTATAGGGTTGTAACAATAGTATCAGTATACTGCGATACTTTCCCCCACAATGCTAGTTTGGAGGTGTGATGTTATCATTGATACACAACAGTGTGCTATATAGGGTTGTAACAATAGTATCAGTATATTGAGATACTTTCCCCCACAATGCTAGTTTGGAGGTGTGATGTTATCATCGATACACAACAGTGTGCTATATAGTATAGGGTTGTAACAATAGTATCAGTATACTGCGATACTTTCCCCCACAATGCTAGTTTGGAGGTGTGATGTTATCATTGATACACAACAGTGTGCTATATAGGGTTGTAACAATAGTATCAGTATATTGAGATACTTTCCCCCACAATGCTAGTTTGGAGGTGTGATGTTATCATCGATACACAACAGTGTGCTATATAGGGTTGTAACAATAGTATCAGTATACTGCGATACTTTCCCCCACAATGCTAGTTTGGAGGTGTGATGTTATCATCGATACACAACAATGTGCTATATAGTATAGGGTTGTAACAATAGTATCAGTATACTGCGATACTTTCCCCCACAATGCTAGTTTGGAGGTGTGATGTTATCATTGATACACAACAGTGTGCTATATAGGGTTGTAACAATAGTATCAGTATATTGAGATACTTTCCTCCACAATGCTAGTTTGGAGGTGTGATGTTATCATCGATACACAACAATGTGCTATATAGTATAGGGTTGTAACAATAGTATCAGTATACTGCGATACTTTCCTCCACAATGCTAGTTTGGAGGTGTGATGTTATCATCGATACACAACAATGTGCTATATAGTATAGGGTTGTAACAATAGTATCAGTATAGTGCCATACTTTCCCCCACAATGCTAGTTTGGAGGTGTGATGTTATTATCGATACACAACAATGTGCTATATAGTATAGGGTTGTAACAATAGTATCAGTATACTGCGATACTTTCCTCCACAATGCTAGTTTGGAGGTGTGATGTTATCATCGATACACAACAATGTGCTATATAGTATAGGGTTGTAACAATAGTATCAGTATACTGCGATACTTTCCTCCACAATGCTAGTTTGGAGGTGTGATGTTATCATCGATACACAACAATGTGCTATATAGTATAGGGTTGTAACAATAGTATCAGTATACTGCGATACTTTCCTCCACAATGCTAGTTTGGAGGTGTGATGTTATCATCGCTACACAACAATGTGCTATATAGGGTTGTAACAATAGTATCAGTTTACTGCGATTCTTTCCCCCACTATGCTAGTTTGGAGGTGTGATGTTATCATCGATACACAACAGTGTGCTATATAGGGTTGTAACAATAGTATCAGTATTCCAGTTATATCACTTCGGTGAAATCCGAGAGCACGGGTATGGTTCTGACAAACCTAGAAACATAATTGGGGCGAACCGGGATTCGAACCCACAATCATAGGTTTCTGGCGTGCCCAAGGGACGCAACTCTGCACAGCGAATCGCAGCGCCTTAGACGACTGGGCCACCTCTGCCCCCGAAATAAGGTTTAAGGTCGCGTTCAAGATTACTGCTCCAATATTGAGACTCTGCCCGTTGTACCATGTAAATCCATGAGCTGAGAGATACAACTCTGCCTGTTGTACCATGTAAACCCATGAGCTGAGGGATACAACTCTGCCTGGTGTACCACGTAAACCCATGAGCTGAGAGATACAACTCTCCCCGATGTACCATGTAAACCCATGAGCTGAGGGATACAACTCTGCCCGTTGTACCATGTAAATCCAAGAGCTGAAGGATACAACTCTGCCCGATGTACCATGTAAACCCATGAGCTGAGGGATACAACTCTGCCTGTTGTACCATGTAAACCCATGAGCTGGGGGATACAACTCTGCCCGATGTACCATGTAAACCCATGAGCTGAGAGATACAACTCTGCCTGTTGTACCATGTAAACTCATGAGCTGAGAGATACAACTCTGCCTGTTGTACCATGTAAACCCACGAGCTGAGGGATACAACTCTGCCCGTTGTACCACGTAAACCAATGAGCTGAGGGATACAACTCTGCCCGTTGTACCATGTAAACCCATGAGCTGAGAGATACAACTCTGCCCATTGTACCATATAAATCCACGAGCTGAGAGATACAACTCTGCCTGTTGTACCATGTAAACCCATGAGCTGAGAGATACAACTCTGCCTGTTGTACCATGTAAACCCATGAGCTGAGAGATACAACTCTGCCCATTGTACCATGTAAACCCATGAGCTGAGAGATACAACTCTGCCTGTTGTACCATGTAAACCCATGAGCTGAGGGATACAACTCTGCCCGTTGTACCATGTAAACCAATGAGCTGAGGGAAGCGGGTTTAACATCGTGTCCAACAATTCATCTTTAATGGCATGAAAGTTGTTTATTTGTCCCTATCAAGTCGTCCCTATAATTTCAGTTACTGTCATGTAATTGTAGGGGGTTTAATGCATGTTGTTACAGGGGGGTCTGCACTGTAAACTGAACAGCCCTTCATTCCTATGTGAAATTTGCCCATGTTAGGCCAGCACGCTACAGTCTTTTCTGTAATAAAATCAGGTCAAATTATGTCTAAATGAGAAGTGTATCTTTCTGTAGAAGTTATTTAATGGAATATACAATGATAATCTGTAAAATATTATCAAAGCAATGTTCGTGATGTTCTTGGTCTTGCTATTCAGCTAGTTTCAATGCAAATGATAAAACGAACGACCCGTGAAGGTAGAGTGGGTCTTTAGCAACCCATGCTTGCTGTAAAAGGCGATGGTGTTTGTTGTGCTTGTTGAGGCGACAAACAGGATCGGGTGGTCAGGCTCGCTGACATGGTTGATGCATGTCATCGTATCCAAATTGCGTTGATTGATGCTCATGATGTCAATCACTGGATTGTCTGGTCCAGTCTCGATTATTTTGACCCCCGTCATATACCTGGAATATTGCTGAGTGCGGCGTTAAACAACAAACAAACAAACAGAAATTAGCTTCACATATTGTACCCATGTGGGGAATCGAACCCAGGCCTTCGGAGACAAGCAAGCGCAAAACAATGAATGCTGACAGGATGAGGAAAGACAATTAACAATTTTATTCTGATTGGGATGCAATGATTTTATTAACAACTTAATAAATATAAACACAAATGACAATGACAACAACAAAGACAGTCAAAATAGCCCCACTTGATAAATCAAACATATTTAATGATATGTTCTTAGACCTCAAAATGATAAACATTTTCTGAACATGCAATTCTAACCACTTCAAATAAAACTGAATATGAAAGAAATATGTACTACCCTGTTTAACAATAAAATCTACCACATCTAACTTTCAGTACACTAAAGAATACTTCTTGTCTTCATGCCTTCCCATGCAGACCTTACAGATTTACCATTAAAACCCATGATAGCAGACCTTACAGATTTACCATTAAAACCCATGATAGCAGACCTTACAGATTTACCATTAAAACCCATGATAGCAGACCTTACAGATTTACCATTAAAACCCATGAACAAGGGTGTGTATAGAAGACCTTACAGATTTACCATTAAAACCCATGATAGCAGACCTTACATATTTACCATTAAAACCCATGATAGAAGACCTTACAGATTTACCATTAAAACCCATGAACAAGGGTGTGTGTAGAAGACCTTACAGATTTACCATTAAAACGCATGAACAAGGGTGTGTATAGAAGACCTTACAGATTTACCATTAAAACGCATGAACAAGGGTGTGTATAGAAGACCTTACAGATTTACCATTAAAACGCATGAACAAGGGTGTGTATAGAAGACCTTACAGATTTACCATTAAAACCCATGATAGCAGACCTTACAGATTTACCATTAAAACCCATGAACAAGGGTGTGTATAGAAGACCTTACCGATTTACCATTAAAACCCATGAACAAGGGTGTGTGTAGAAGACCTTACATATTTACCATTAAAACCCATGATAGCAGACCTTACATATTTACCATTAAAACGCATGAACAAGGGTGTGTGTAGAAGACCTTATATATTTACCATTAAAACCCATGAACAAGGGTGTGTATAGAAGACCTTACAGATTTACCAATAAAACCCATGATAGCAGACCTTACATATTTACCATTAAAACCCATTATAGCAGACCTTACATATTTACCATTAATACCAATGATAGCAGACCTTACATATTTACCATTAAAACCCATTATAGCAGACCTTACATATTTACCATTAAAACCCATGATAGCAGACCTTACATATTTACCATTAATACCAATGATAGCAGACCTTACAGATTTACCATTAAAACCCATGATAGCATAGCAGACCTTACATATTTACCAATAAAACACATGATAGCAGACCTTACATATTTACCATTAAAACCCATGATAGCAGACCTTACATATTTACCAGTAGATGCGGTGGTGTGTAGTGTAGATGTGGCTGTGTGTAGAGTAGATGTGGCTGTGTGTAGAGTAGATGTGGCTGTGTGTAGAGTAGGTGTGGCTCTGTGTAGAGTAGGTGTGGCTCTGTGTAGAGTAGATGTGGCTTAAGTAGAGTAGGTGTGGCTGTGTGTAGAGTAGGTGTGGTTGTGTGTAGAGTAGGTGTGGCTGTGTGTAGAGTAGCTGTGGCTGTGTGTAGAGTAGATGTGGCTTAAGTAGAGTAGGTGTGGCTTAAGTAGAGTAGGTGTGGTTGTGTGTAGAGTAGATGTGGTTGTGTGTAGAGTAGATGTGGCTGTTGTAGAGTAGATGCGGCGGTGTGTAGAGTAGCTGTGGCTGTGTGTAGAGTAGCTGTGGCTGTGTGTAGAGTAGGTGTGGCTGTGTGTAGAGTAGCTGTGGCTGTGTGTAGAGTAGGTGTGGCTGTGTGTAGAGTAGGTGTGGCTGTGTGTAGAGTAGGTGTGGCTGAAGTAGAGTAGGTGTGGCTGTGTGTAGAGTAGGTGTGGTTGTGTGTAGAGAAGGTGTGGCTGTGTGTAGAGTAGCTGTGGCTGTGTGTAGAGTAGCTGTGGCTGTGTGTAGAGTAGGTGTGGTTGTGTGTAGAGTAGCTGTGGCTGTGTGTAGAGTAGGTGTGGTTGTGTGTAGAGAAGGTGTGGCTGTGTGTAGAGTAGGTGTGGCTCTGTGTAGAGTAGCTGTGGCTGTGTGTAGAGTAGATGTGGCTTAAGTAGAGTAGGTGTGGCTTAAGTAGAGTAGATGTGGATGGTGTAGAGTAGATGTGGCTGTTGTAGAGTAGATGCGGCGGTGTGTAGAGTAGCTGTGGCTGTGTGTAGAGTAGCTGTGGCTGTGTGTAGAGTAGGTGTTGTTGTGTGTAGAGTAGCTGTGGCTGTGTGTAGAGTAGATGTGGCTGTGTGTAGAGTAGGTGTGGCTGTGTGTAGAGTAGGTGTGGCTGTGTGTAGAGTAGGTGTGGCTGAAGTAGAGTAGGTGTGGCTGTGTGTAGAGTAGGTGTGGCTGAAGTAGAGTAGGTGTGGCTGTGTGTAGAGTAGGTGTGGTTGTGTGTAGAGTAGGTGTGGCTGTGTGTAGAGTAGGTGTGGCTGTGTGTAGCGTAGGTGTGGCTGAAGTAGAGTAGGTGTGGTTGTGTGTAGAGTAGATGTGGCTGTGTGTAGAGTAGATGTGGCTGTAGCTGTGTGTAGAGTAGGTGTGGTTGTGTGTAGAGTAGGTGTGGTTGTGTGTAGAGTAGGTGTGGCTGTGTGTAGAGTAGATGTGGCTGTGTGTAGAGTAGATGTGGCTGTGTGTAGAGTAGGTGTGGCTGAAGTAGAGTAGGTGTGGCTGTGTGTAGAGTAGGTGTGGTTGTGTGTAGAGTAGGTGTGGCTGTGTGTAGAGTAGGTGTGGCTGTGTGTAGAGTAGATGTGGCTGTAGCTGTGTGTAGAGTAGATGTGGCTGTGTGTAGAGTAGATGTGGCTGTAGCTGTGTGTAGAGTAGATGTGGTTGTGTGTAGAGTAGGTGTGGCTGTGTGTAGAGTAGGTGTGGTTGTGTGTAGAGAAGGTGTGGCTGTGTGTAGAGTAGGTGTGGTTGTGTGTAGAGTAGGTGTGGTTGTGTGTAGAGTAGATGTGGTTGTGTGTAGAGTAGATGCGGTTGTGTGTAGAGTAGATGTGGTTGTGTGTAGAGTAGATGTGGTTGTGTGTAGAGTAGATGCGGTGGTGTGTAGAGTAGCTGTGGCTGTGTGTAGAGTAGATGTGGCTGTAGCTGTGTGTAGAGTAGATGTGTCTGTGTGTAGAGTAGCTGTGGCTGTGTGTAGAGTAGATGTGGCTGTAGCTGTGTGTAGAGTAGCTGTGGCTGTGTGTAGGGCAGGTACATATGATTCACATACAGCATTTTGAAGAAATAAATACACCATAACCTTGTGAAAACAAACACTGACTGGAATGACTGGTCAGAAAGTCGACAACATATATGACTCAGGAGTTTACAACAGAGCGTTACAAAGAAAAGAGGCATATCTTGGGTTGCTGGGAGACACTTGTAATCACATCCTAATCATCATCAATACCTCAAGGGTTTGTATTCGGGCTGGGATGGGTAACTCAGGTACTCGGGTCAGGTGGGTCCTGAGTAGGACCCGGGTACCCACAGTACTACCTGGACCCGTGGTTAGTCACGTGATATATTGTTTAATGACAAAAACTCACTATAGCTCAGTGGTTACACTACAAGTCGCTAATGTTCGCATTTCTTTCTGACGATGCGCACATTCCTTTTGACTTGTATATGTTTGAGTAAAGATAACGCTTCAGTCAACTTCAGAGTACGCATGATGTGATCGTTAGATACATGTATCTAAATTGTTTTTGCCAAGGCTGCGGTAAAACAATTCAGACATTTTGTTCCCAACTCTTTGAGACCTAAGCGGGTACCCAGGTAGGGTCGGGTAATAGGGTTGGGTACCTGGATAGTAAATTTAGACTCGTCCCAGCCCTAGTTTGTATACACTACGTGCATTGCTTGACATGTGCACCCTATGGCAAAGTGAGTGAGTGAGTGAGTATGGTTTTACGCCGCTTCTAGCAATATTCCAGCAATATCACGGCGGGGGACACCAGAAATGGGCTTCACGCGATGTGCCATGTCACTATAAATGTCAAATTGCAATACTGTTTGCCCGAAATACAACATATTATGAAAAACAAAAAAAATGCTAATTTTTTTTTTCCATTACCGCTAAAATTAAAGGGGTGGCACAAAATCAGACAGATGGTCGGGAACCCTTTAAAATGCTGGGGGAAATAGTACACCTTTATACCATGTATTACAAATCAATGTTTGTGAAGTCAAACTGAATTGTTTGAGGATGGTTTTACGCCGCTTCTAGCAATATTCCAGCAATATCACGGCAGGGGACACCAGAAATGGGCTTCACACATTGTACCCATGTCGGGATTCGAACCCGGGTCTTCGGCGTGACGAGCGAACGCTTTAACCACTAGACTACCCGACCGCCCCCCCTATGGCAAAGCTTAGTGGCTGTTTGCTTTAATGGCAGGCAATAGTAGGAGTTCGCGAAAAGCTCAAGGATATTGACGATCGAAGACATAGTGTAAACAAACCTGTGTGTAGTATTCGTACTGACCACAAGAGAAGAACATTTCATAAGGGTTAATTTAACATCTAAATGGAACAATTCCTGAAAAAGTCACTGAGGCCCAGGAACATAGGAAATCACATAAAAAAATATTTATGTTTCATTAATAGTTTTTCATATAATTTCCTATGTTTTTGTGATCACTGACAATTATTACTGAACACTTGAATTCTTTTAGTCATTAAACAATTAAATCATTTGATAACAACACAATCATAACACCAAACTTCAATATCAATCAATACATTATATATATTTATATATATATATATATACACACACACACACACACACACACACACATATTCGAATCATATTCAAATTATGTACAAACTTAATAAATGCAATAAATATGAATCAGCCTCCTTATGGAATAATATATTCGGGATATTTTGCATACAGGTACATTTACACAAACATAATGAGTTCACCAGTATCTACACTTCACAGTCCAGGTGTGAAGGATTAAAATCAAGCTAAAATTAAGCATGAACACAAAGCGTTTTACTTATCACAAAAATAAATAAAAAAATGATTTGTAAAAAAATATTACCTCCATCCCATTATAAATTGTATCCTAACATTATCGAGATGTTAGATTTATGATACAATATGAAATGTATTCTAATTTACAGATAAAAATGATGCCTCGAAAAAAACAACCAAAAACCAACTAAAATGCATACACGCTAACCCCACTAGCGGATCCAGAGTACGCACTGCCCCTTTGTTTTTCCCAAACACCAAACGCGTTAACTGCGCCTCTGCCAAAATCACTTCTTGACCTGGGTATAACGTGCACCCCCATTTTATCAAATCCTTGATCTGCCTCTGCACACCAATCCCCATCCAAACTTAAAGGGCAAGTTCACACGGAAATGAACCAATTTTTCTTGTACTTTTTCCACATTAAAAGTGTTAACATAGAAGTGTCATAGACAAAAATATAAAAACATCATATTTAATTAACATATTGCATTAAAACGATTTATATTTTTCACATTTACCAAGTGTTCTATTTCCATAACAAAAACACCATGGCTTATGCCCCTTGCACGTCATTGGTGCCAATTGATAAACATTATGACGTCATCATGCTTTGTTAGAGCCGCTTCACGTGGTGTAGGTATAGTTTTGTGATTCTAGCGTCTCAGATGCCAGCCAGAATTGTGTTATGCTGAGTCACTACTGCGCCGGAGTGTGTCGTAGGCCATGTTGTTTTACCGCAAACTGGTCCTTGATATCTTTTGCGTTGAGAATAGACAGGGACCCAGTTGAATTGGCACCAATTACGTCATAATCTAAGGGGGATAACTCAGGCCTATTTCGCTCGTAAAACGAAGGCCTCATAACGGCATATCATTTTAACACTATTGTGAGCTTCCTACTTTCACTGTGAAAAAAAAATTAGTGTATATTTTCAAACACAGATACTAATTAATTCTAAAATTGCGTTTTGTTTAGGAAAAGAAAGAAAGTGATTTTTGCGTGTACACTTCCCCTTTAAAGCAATCGAGGACCACAATAAGGCAAAGAGAAGTTTGTTTAAAGTGGATGAAAATTTGAGGTGCCTAGTAATGCTTCTGCAAGTTCATGAAACGAAACATTTCAGCAACTTGTAAAAGTGAATCACAGACAATTCCTCTCCATTATGCAAATGAATTTCACACAACTAAACAGTGTAACAACTGTTAAAATGTAAGGACAACTTGCATTAGCTCACAGTTCTGGAACTAATGGACACAATTATCCACAAATAGGGCTGTAACGATACAATAGGTCTCCATGATACGCTATGTTTGGTCTTGCTAGGACGACTCGGTATTTAATTGACTAGTTGCAAGGTTGAAGTGATTGAGACACAGTTAGCTCGTACATTACACTAATGTTAAATATACTTCAGATAAATCGTGACCAGACACTCCAACCTGCAGAGTTAAATAATCCATGACAACAACTGCAGCGGTGGAGTTTGTGCGTGGGTGTGCAAGTGTAGGGTTGACTTAATGCATTGATGAAAACACTAAGCATGGTTTTTTAATAGTGCTCTGACATACACACCCAAAAATGAAAAGAATATTTGTGCTCTGTGTGGGTTTTCGAATTTCCATTTAAATGTAAGTAAAGAGAAAATGATTTTCGAGGGAGAAATAGTTATGTTTTTACTGCAGAATTTACTGCCGAATTGTGCAAATTTAGCTGCAGAATTTTGGTAATTTTCTGTTACTGCAGAATTCATCAGGGACTGGCGTAAGAACACCCACACTGATCTAGAACAATTTTAGGGCCGAATTACAAGTTTCAAATATTTCAATAAGGCCCAGAACTCAACACAATGTTCAAACAAATTATAGATTTCAAATATTTCAATAAGCATGACCAGGTCTGAAACTCAAAATAATGTCCAACCAAATGATATGTTTCTCATATATGAATTTACCACTTTGATGAAACCCACGAGCAAGGGTATGATGTTGACAAACCTTGACAAATAATCAGGGGGAATTGGGGTTCTATATAATAGGTTTCTGGCATGCTTAAGGGACCCAACACTGAACAGCAAATAGGGACACCTTTGACAGCTGCTGCTCTTGAGATCGAAGCCAGCATTACTTTTGTCCTTTGTTTGTTGTTTAACGCTGCACTCAGCAATATTCCAGCTATACGACGACGGTCTGTAAATAATCGAGTCTGGACCAGACAATCCAGTGATTTACAACATGAGCATCGATCCACAGAATAGGGATCGACAACATGCATCAACCAAGTCAGTGAGCCTGACTACCTGATCCTGTTAGTCGCCTCTTACGACAAGCATAGTTGCCTTTTACGGCAAGCAAGGGTTGCTGAAGACCTGTTCTACGCTGGATCTTCACGGGTCAGTATTACAGCCATGTCAAGGTGTGTCAAGTTACTGTTACCTAACACAAGGGGGACAGGTCAAAGTGAGGCAGATCAATGACATTTAACACTTTGATGAAATCCACCAACACGTGCAGAGTGAGGAACAGAATTGTGGCAAAACTTAAACGGTAACCAACTTTCAGCAGATCCTTGCACATCTAAGGGACACAACTCTGTACAGTGACTGAAGTGCCTTAAACTACTATTCAGCTGAAGTAATGGAATGGTTATAGGGAATAAATCTGAGCCCCCTCTATGTCAACCACTTGAGAAATAGACATTGGATATTCACTATGAACAGGCCTACCAAAGAAGAAAAGTAACGTGTTAAAAACCAGACTTGACATAACACAATCAATGGGCTGCTCACTCGTCATTTTCAAAGTGGACAGTCAACTCGTAATGAACCAAGCAAAACGTGTGCAAAATCTGCTGCTGCTTGCTGATATTTTAGTGGCAAAATAATCAAATGAGATACACATTTCTGTTTTTGAAGACGTTAGTTTTTTTCTTTGGTGGGCCTGATATATTTGTGAACCAAAGGGACTGTGCCCAAATGTGCATCAACAACTTGAAACTGATTGTCATTTAATGAAAGGACTATATGGCTTTCATATTGGTTAAAGTTGACTTAATGTTGATTAGTTTCTAAAAATGAAAAGCACTGTCAGCTGGTTAGCAATCTTTTGTACAAGTATATATAGTTAAAATCTTCACTGAAATGAATAAAACTGGGAATATGCGCTATTATAAATTTACAGGAATCTTGAGTATTCTGTACACTGTATACTTCACCTGCTATGACAGAGTGAAAATTGCTTCTTATCTTCGATATCCATAACACAGAATGAAAACAGCTCACATATATATGCGTTATTGGATCGAAGGATCATAATCAGGGCAGATCAGTGATTAGAAACCAGCTGTCAAGCTGCTCAGGGAGGTCGGGCACCTGTGGCCGTTGGGCCGTAATGCCATATTCTATTTCAGGACATAAACAAATTATGAACATTTTGCGTCTCAAATCACTGATATGCTCAGATAAATCTCTGATTCCCTATTAGCCTTAAATTGAGTTGTGTTTTTTTTCAAGTTGTGATGCTTTAAGTCCTTATTGCAGGCTGATTTGGTTTCTACAAGAGCTTCTCGGGTGGATGAAAATTTCTTTCACTGTGGCGAGATCGTCGGAGCTCATTTTGAAAGTACTGGATTGTCTTGTTTATTCCAACCATCATTGGCACCTGCAAACGAAAAACAATTTATCATCACACAGCAAATTTTACAAGGTCAAGGTCATCTGTGCAGTGGTGACGTCATGTACCGGTAGATGCTTGGGAAGCCAAGTGGTGAAAGGGCTTGTGTAGTGTGGTAGCCTAGTGGTGAAAGGGCTTGTGTAGTGTGGTAGCCTAGTGGTGAAAGGGCTTGTGTAGTGTGGTAGCCTAGTGGTGAAAGGGCTTGTGTAGTGTGGTAGCCTAGTGGTGAAAGGGCTTGTGTAGTGTGGTAGCCTAGTGGTGAAAGGGCTTGTGTAGTGTGGTAGCCTGGTAGTGAAAGGGCTTGTGTGGTGTCCTGGTGGTGAAAGGGCTTGTGTGGTGTGGTAGCCTAGTGGTGAAAGGCTTGTGTGGTGTGGTAGCCTGGTAGTTAAAGGGCTTGTGTGGTGTGGTAGCCTAGTGGTGAAAGGGCTTGTGTAGTGTGGTGTCCTAGTGGGGAAAGGGCTTGTGTAGTGTGGTAGCCTAGTGGTGAAAGGGCTTGTGTAGTGTGGTAGCCTAGTGGTGAAAGGGCTTGTGTGGTGTGGTAGCCTAGTGGTGAAAGGGCTTGTGTGGTGTGGTAGCCTAGTGGTGAAAGGCTTGTGTGGTGTGGTAGCCTGGTAGTTAAAGGGCTTGTGTGGTGTCCTAGTGGTGAAAGGGCTTGTGTAGTGTGGTGTCCTAGTGGTGAAAGGGCTTGTGTAGTGTGGTAGCCTAGTGGTGAAAGGGCTTGTGTGGTGTGGTAGCCTAGTGGTGAAAGGCTTGTGTGGTGTGGTAGCCTGGTAGTTAAAGGGCTTGTGTGGTGTGGTAGCCTAGTGGTGAAAGGGCTTGTGTGGTGTGGTAGCCTGGTAGTTAAAGGGCTTGTGTGGTGTCCTAGTGGTGAAAGGGATTGAGTGGTGTGGTAGCCTAGTGGTGAAAGGGCTTGTGTGGTGTGGTGTCCTGGTGGTGAAAGGGCTTATGTGGTGTGGTAGCCTGGTAGTTAAAGGGCTTGTGTGGTGTCCTAGTGGTGAAAGGGATTGAGTGGTGTGGTAGCCTAGTGGTGAAAGGGCTTGTGTGGTGTGGTAGCCTAGTGGTGAAAGGGCTTGTGTGGTGTGGTAGCGTAGTGGTGAAAGGGCTTGTGTGGTGTGGTAGCCTGGTAGTTAAAGGGCTTGTGTGGTGTCCTAGTGGTGGGGGGGTTCCTTATTCAGGCTGCTTATAGATGGGTTTAGAGTTGTTCAAGGGTGAATATGGGAGTAGGGAGTTAAACATGGCAAAAACAGCATGTATAAGTTTATATAAAAAAAATTGTATAAGTTCCATGTAATCAAAAACTTTATAAAAATCAGGTAATTAGCGTGATGATGTTACCACAGGCTGCCAGTTGAGATATTTCCGGGCTCGTGTTATGTCCGGGCGGCGGCGCTTTGGATCGTCCTGCATTGCTGGTTTCGTAACAATCTTACTCGTGCTGGATTCTGCAAACACAGTGCCAGGGAGACATAAATCTTATAAATAAGAATATATATAATATATAAGGCAAAAACAAATCATAGTCTTGGTTCTCAGGCACCACCCACATCATCATAAAGTCTGCCGGACGGTTTGTTTTTATTTCCATTTTCAAAAAAATATGTAAATCCTAATATTTAAACACAATGCACACAAAAATTGAAAATGGAAACAAAACGAAACGTGCAATGAACTTTATAATGATATGGGCGGTGCCTGAGAACCAAGACTATAATTTATTTTAGCCTAATGTTAATATTTATAATGTGCTAAATTTACATTCTGAAGCATGCTCAAAGTGCTACATTAATACCCCAGTCAATGGATCAGTTGGTTCTCGATTTTCATTGTCAGCTCCCTCGGGAGCATGCAAACACAGCAAGCTGTCTGTGAGATGCTAGATGGTTGACAGACATGTTACCATTTCATCCCACTGGATAGGAGGAATGAAATCTGATCCCTTGAAAAATGTTTTACAAGATTTGATGGCTGGGAATCAGAGATCTTCTAAGATGGCCACCAATCACACCACATTGAGCAATATTCCAGCTATATGCCGGCGGTCTGTAAATAATCGAGTCTGGACCAGACAATCCAGTGATTGACATCATGAGCATAGGTCCATGGAATTGGGATCGATGACATGCATCAACCAAGTCAGCGAGCCTGACCATCCGATCAAGCATAGTCGCAGAGTTGCCAACCAGTGATTGATATTAGGGCTGCAACGATACAGGAAGGTCACGATACGATACGTATCTCGATATTCTGGTCACGATACGACACGTATCTCGATACACAACGATAAAAAGAGTACTCCAGTACTCCAGCATATTTTAAATTTCAAGGCTTCAAGCATGTCAGGATTGGACCTTTCATGATTTTGGAACAGTCAAAGTTATTTTATAATAACAAGACTTCAAAGTTCAAACACCAGAAAATAATCAATGCACTTCGCAGTGTGAATAGTTCAACCTCAGGTTCTTATTCAGAAAACGTAAAATGTCAACATTGTCAGGGGGCAGTGATTCCCTCACTTAATGGAGGTGGGGTTGTAGGTGGTAGATGACCAACACAATAGCACAATAGTCTGACCAGTCACCGTCAAGGCTCACGCGCACGTGATCGCGTGATCGCGAGAATTTCATGTTGACATAGAATCGTCAAACAAAAACAAATATGACTTTTAACGAGTCAAAGTATGTCATTTATGATATATGTATCCATTCTCTGTCAACTAAAGTTCGTTTCAAGGCGTCAATTGCGGTATTCTGACCGTGGTTGCTGTTAATAACGGTGAGTTTGTGCGATCTTCCGATCGCTTCACACACGATTTCGCCGAAATTAATAAAAACAATATTATAAGGAATTTTGAATAAAATTAATGAAATAAGTTACAAACATAAGTCCAGATATACAAAGAACACTTTTTATAGCCAGACAGTGTAATTACATGATTATTTTGCATACTTCAGTATGGATTTGTTGACATGGTATTTCCGGTGTTTCGTGCTCCCGGTAATGTCTTTCCATGGGGGAAAAAAAACATCCAAACTCATAATTCGTGTATAATGCGCACCCCCTTCTACAAAGCTGTGTTTTTTCGAAAAAAAGTGCGCACTATACTCAAGAAAATACGGTACATGCTCTTCCTACCTAACATGATCTAAGATGTATGCTTCAGAGTTTGAGTGAGTGAGTGAGTATTGTTTTACGTCGCTTTTAGCAATATTCCAGCAATATCACGGTGGGGGACACCAGAAATAGGTTTCACACATTGTACCCATGTCGGGAATCGAACCCGGGTCTTCGGCGTGACGAGCGAACGCTGAAGCCACTAGGCTACCCGACCGCCCCGCTTCAGAGTTTGAAAAAGGATTAGAATAATGTAAGTAAGTTTTGGGAGCCATGCGTTACTGTGCCCTATAACAGAGTTAGCGCTATATTGAAGGGTGCAATAGCCAGGGAACATTGTACTAAGATGTGCATTCCATATCGTGGCATATCGATAAATAAACCTACGTGTATCGTGTATCGTATCGTTGGTCAAGTATTGTGATGCATCGGAATGTCGGTGTATCGTTTCACCCTTAATTGATATTATGAGCAATGATCCCAACTGTCTGGGTACGACAACACACATTCAACCAAGTCTCGGAGTCTGACAACCCGATCCATTAAGTCACTGTTTACGAAAGCACAATCTGTGGGGACAGTTCTAACCCAGAATCCCTGCGAGATGAACGCTCCAGAGCTCCAGATTACTTTTTGGGCACTTGAGTTTTTACTCTAGGGTTTCTATTTTAATTGGGTTATAACATTTTTCATAGGGTAACCAATATTATTTCACTTTGAATATTTTGGCGGAGTAATTTACCCAAATACGCAGCTTATCTGTAGCTCTGCACTTTCCATGTATTTTAATCTTTATGGTCTCGCTGTTACCTGTCCAGTGAAAACAACATACAGTCAAACCATGGAAGATACACTTACTGACGAGGGACTTGATGATTTTCGCAAAGTCCATGATGGTGTGTTCCTCTGCGTTACCGAGGTTGCAGGGGAGGGAGTAGTTGCTGTTCATGAGGGCGATGAGGCCGTCCACGAGATCGGACACATACTGGAATGACCGCGTCTGGGTACCCTGCCCATACACCTGGCAAACCAGAATCATACGCGTGACTTAACATTGCATTGAACAGAATTTCAACTAGTCCACCTCAATGTCGGAACTCCTGGAGCCCAGATAACTCATACCACTTAGGGTAAAAAAAATAATAGTCTTGCTTCTCAGGCACCTACCACATCCTCATAAAGTCTGACGCATGCTTTGTTTTTATTTCCATTTTCAAAAAAATACATAAATCCTAATACTTAAACACAAAGCACAAAAAAATGGAAAATGAAAACAAAAACGGAACGTGCAATGAACTTTATGATGATGTGGGCAGTGCCTGAGAACCAAGATTATTATTTTTTTTAGCCTTATACGGGTCATGTCAGATGTGTCGAATCCCACAAAAGTTGTATTATTTCCCTGGTACCTTGACGTCAGCAACAGAATGCCAATTTTCACATCAAGAAAATGTCCTGTCTTTGATATTTCTTTCTGTATTGTTTTCAGGTCAGTGCTGTGTTTGGGTCAGCATGCTTGATGTAGATTATAACTTGTTTATTGCCGCCCAGCAATATTTCAGCTACAAGACATCAGTATGTAAACAACCAGAATGGACCACACAATCCAGTGATTGACATCATGACCATCGATCTACGTAATTCGGATACAATGACATGCATCAACCACGTCAGCGAGCCTGACCACTCGATCCCGTTAGTCGCCTCTTTAGACAAGAATGGGGTGTCCAGTTCTAACCCTGATCTTCACAGGGGGAGACAAGCATGGGTTGCTGAAGACCAATTCTAACTTGGATGTTCATGGGGTTCATGTGCAAAGTTGTTTTATAGTAAAGCTGAACTAAAATAACATGATATTGGAATAAATTATTCCTGATAATAATAATAGTTTCAGATACAATTCTTCCGATTATTGTATCAAAATTCTTTAAAGTTATATTAGTGGGTAACTTTTAACCGAATAGATTCCGAGAAATGTGTGTACATCTGATTGCTATTTCCGGATTAGTTTACGAGAAAATACAGTCGGTAATCTTAATCTCTGCATATAAAACAATGCCTATCAGAAGAGGAAATACAATTTAATCGGTAAATCATCATGGCTAGTGTTTTTTTATCTCAAATTTCAAAATTGTCTTGACCAAGTTTAATGTTATGATCTGTTCATTTCCCTGAATTTGCTGAAGGCATACAATGTATTTTTTTCTGCAGAAGACAAACACTTTTTTATAGCAAATGTAAGGATTGTGTATGCGCTGGTGACATGCTTCATTCCGATTCGCTTTAGAGACAGGGTATATAAATTAGCATCGATTTTGAAGGCTTCGACAGGGGGTCACCTTATACGTGGGGTCCCTTCATAGACGGCGACGGGGTATATAAATTAGCATCGATTTTGAACGCTTCGACAGGGGGTCACCTTATAAGTGGGGTCCCTTCATAGACGGCGACGGGGTATATAAATTAGCATCGATTTTGAAGGCTTTGACAGGGGGTCACCTTATAAGTGGGGTCCCTTCATAGACGGCGACGGGGTATATAAATTAGCATCGATTTTGAAGGCTTGGACAGAGGGTCACCTTATACATGGGGTCGCTTTATAGGCGGCGATATAGGGTTCTTATTTCAGTATTTGGGGCGACTTACAGTCAAGGATTCATTCTGTAAAGCCTGCAGTATAAAGTTGCTGACCACCCTCCCATCGTTCATGTGCATACGGGGACCGAATGTGTTGAATATTCGAGCTACTCTCACTTCCACACCATCCTGAAACAACACCAAAAATATATACATTAGGCTAAAACAAAACGATTGGTTCAATCGCATTTACCTCCAGAGAACTTGGTGAAAATCATCTTCCTGAGGCAGGGGAGTTAACTGACTGAAGTCCAGTTTCCACCCTTGCTGAACTAGGCTGCAATTATGGAGTTACATTTTGGCTGGACTAACGAGTCTATGCATAGTCAAATCAAAATCGCGTAACGAACTAGACATCTGGTTCATTAACAACAGGAATTTCAACGAGCAGGTTTCGGTTGACTGCAGGATTTGCAAAGCATGTGTGAATATTTTGTAAATTCTTTCATGCTTTTATTCAAGGTGCTCACGTGATTTGATGCACTTCACGAGGTAAGACCCGTTTTATTACAATATAGATCTAGATTATCGAGCAGATCGTCCTGACCGTGTGCCCACAGTTTGTGATATAAGAGATGGAATCTGATTGGTCAATAGGAGGAACATAGAAGGGACATAACTCTTAATAGCCACTGGTGGTGCTACGATTGAGCCAGGAAGTTCCAGCCTAGTTCGGAAAGGATGGAAACTGGACTTTTATAGTCAGTTAACGCCCTTGCCTCAAGAAGATGGGTGAGACTCTGATGAACAGATATTTATCAAATTAATTGCAAAACTAGATCTGTAATATCATGTGCTGATAATGTTGTCACAATGTAAGAGTGAGGAGTCATGGTTGATTAAAAGTTAGTGTAATTACAAAACGTCAAAGAATACCTGTTTAGCATAAGCATAACACGTGGTCTCAGCAACTCTCTTGCCCTCGTCATAGCATGCCCTGGGACCGATGGGGTTCACGTGGCCCCAGTAGTCCTCCGTCTGGGGGTGCACCTCGGGGTCTGCGGGAACGAGCAGTGCGTGAGTGAGTGAGTTTGGGTGGGTGGTTTGGTGGGTGGTTGAGTGAGTGAGTTTTGGTGAGTCAGTGAGTAGGTGGTTGAGTGAGTTTTGGTGAGTTTTGGTGAGTGAGTGGGTGGCCTCTGGGTAACAGGGTGGTTGGGTGAGTGGGTGGGTGGCTTCTGGGTAACAGGGTGGTTGAGTGAGTGGGAGGGTGGCTTCTGGGTAACAGGGTGGTTGAGTTAGTGGGTGGGTGGCTTCTGGGTAACAGGGTGGTTGAGTGAGTGGGAGGGTGGCTTCTGGGTAACAGGGTGGTTGAGTGAGTGGGCGGGTGGCTTCTGGGTAACAGGGTGGTTGGGTGAGTGGGTGGGTGGCTTCTGGGTAACAGGGTGGTTGAGTGAGTGGGCGGGTGGCTTCTGGGTAACAGGGTGGTTGAGTGAGTGGGCGGGTGGCTTCTGGGTAACAGGGTGGTTGAGTGAGTGGGCGGGTGGCTTCTGGGTAACAGGGTGGTTGAGTGAGTGGGAGGGTGGCCTCTGGGTAACAGGGTGGTTGAGTGAGTGGGAGGGTGGCCTCTGGGTAACAGGGTGGTTGAGTGAGTGGGTGGGTGGCTTCTGGGTAACAGGGTGGTTGAGTGAGTGGGAGGGTGGCTTCTGGGTAACAGTGGGTGGGTGGGTGGTTTTGAGAGTGGTTGAGTGGGTGGACTGATGAGTGAGTGGGTGGACTGATGAGTGAGTGGGTGGGTGGCTTCTGGGTAACAGGGTGGGTGGATGGGTTTCGGTGATTGGGTAAATAGGGGAGTGAATCAGGATTGAGTGAAGAAGTTACAACTACTTTGTTTATTATGAAATAACTAAAAAATAATGTCCTAACTTACTCAAGAGGGTTACCATGGTTACCACTCAGGCGACACCTGAGCGCAGGAGGTAGACCAGGCTCATGATAAGGGAGAACGTGAGACTTAACTTAACTCCCATTATTGATAAGATGGTAATCCCCGTTGTTAATCCTCACCAACATTTCATTGTACGTATATTGACTGTCAGCCATCCTGGACTACCATATCACTTCCCGTTAATTACATGTCACGGCTACAGGGTAATTAGCCTTTGGGATCAAATGTTCTTCAGACAACGCTTGTCCCAAATCAGACGCTATGACAGTACTTCAAGATTATGTGCACATGTTCCTATTACGTTTTACTTTTACAGCAATTCAATGATGTGACACTGACAGCAGGCCGGCCTGTGTTTCAACTGTGATAAATGTATTGGAGGTGAGGTAAGGTGAGGTGAGGTGAGGTGAGGTGAGGTGAGGTGAGCTGAAAAGGTGTTTAACGTCATGTCCAAGATTATTGCACTTATATAGCGACGTGCATGTACGTGTGTGTGTTTGTGTGGCTGCTTGTACTAGTCCGGACTGATGCCGATTTATAGTGCTAGCTCACTGAGATACCATGCCGCAGTTTAACATGAATACCCCACTCAGACACAGTATACTGACTCCGAGCCGACCAGTCCTTGTTTTAGCCCCTTAATGCCGAGCGCCAGACAAGGTAACAACAAGAACCATCTTTTAACGTCTTTTGGTATGGCGCGGCCGGGGATCAAACCCCGGACCTTCCGCTCTCCGGGCGGACGTGGACCAGGGTGCAACCTGTTTATGTCTGATGCAACTAGATTTTCATGTCAACATGCACCTGGTCTAAGTATCAAGTTCCTTAAAGCTCTCAATGCTACAGTCGAACCCAGTTGACAGGCACATAGTCCAAGGACACCCCAAATGCAAGTTGCTATAACTGCTTAATGAGTATGCTTTGTGAATATTTTAAGTTACGTATAGTATGCATAAATGCTCAGCTTACAAAATATCAAAACTTTCAGTAGTTTATTTACCTAAAAAAAAAAAACATATAGAAAGTAAAGAAAGTATCGACCAAATTTATCGGCACACAACTACCAGAAACGGCCATTGTTGACTTTTGGAACTTCACATTCTTTATCATTTGATCATTTATCATATTAGTACACAGTATTACTCACCTCCATACACCTCGGATGTGGATGCAAGAAGAAGTCGGGCTCGCACTCTCTTTGCCAGACCTGGACAAGCAAGGAAGAGATATTATGTGTGTGAGTGAGTGAGTTGGGCTTAACGCCGCTTTTAACATTATTCCAGTTATATCGTAATATTGTAATATCAATCACTGGTTTGTTTGGGGGTCGTATTATCAATCGCTGGTTTGTCTGGTTATCGTAATATCAATCACTGGTTTGTCTGGGGGTCGTATTATCAATCACTGGTTTGTCTGGGGGTCGTAATATCAATCACTGATTTGTCTGGGGGTCGTATTATCAATCAGTGGTTTGTCTGGGGGTCGTTATATCAATCACTGATTTGTCTGGGGGTCGTATTATCAATCAGTGGTTTGTCTGGGAGTTGTAATATCAATCACTGGTTTGTCTGGGATTCGTAATATCAATCGCTGGTTTGTCCGGGGGGTCGTAATATCAATCACTGGTTTGTCTGGGGTCGTAATATCAATCACTGGTTTGTCTGGGGGTCGTAATATCAATCACTGATTTGTCTGGGGGTCGTAATATCAATCACTGATTTGTTTGGGGGTCGTATTATCAATCAGTGGTTTGTCTGGGAGTTGTAATATCAATCACAGGTTTGTCTGGGATTCGTAATATCAATCGCTGGTTTGTCCGGGGGGTCGTAATATCAATCACTGGTTTGTCTGGGGGTCGTATTATCAATCACTGGTTTGCCTGGGGGTCGTAATATCAATCACTGATTTGTCTGGGGGTCGTATTATCAATCAGTGGTTTGTCTAGGAGTTGTAATATCAATCACTGGTTTGTCTGGGATTCGTAATATCAATCGCTGGTTTGTCCGGGGGGTCGTAATATCAATCACTGGTTTGTCTGGGGGTCGTAATATCAATCACTGGTTTGTCTGGGGGTCGTAATATCAATCACTGATTTGTCTGGGGGTCGTAATATCAATCACTGGTTTGTCTGGGGGTCGTAATATCAATCACTGGTTTGTCTGGGCGTTGTAATATCAATCGCTGGTTTGTCTGGGGTCTTAATATCAATCACTGGTTTGTCTGAGGGTGGTAATATCAATCACTGGTTTGTCTGGGGGTCGTAATATCAATCGCTGGTTTGTCTGTAGGTCATAATATCAATCACTGGTTTGTCTGAGGGTGGTAATATCAATCACTGGTTTGTCTGGGGGTCGTAATATCAAACGCTGGTTTGTCTGGGGGTCGTAATATCAATCACTGGTTTGTCTGTAGGTCGTAATATCAATCACTGGTTTGTCTGCTCCTGACTCCACATAGCTAAGGTACTTGTGTGTGAGGTGCTAGACAACAAACAGCAACCTACCCAGCATGTTGATGGTGCCAATAGTGTTGGTCTTGATGGTCTTGATGGGGTTGTACATGTAGTTGGGAGGGGATGCTGGTGAGGCCAGGTGGAAGATCTGATCCGCTGAAAAAACATGTCGTCATAGTAACTGATTTGTGAGTTGTGGTTCAACGGTGCCATAAGCCATTTATACCACAGCATGTCAACATGAGCTGGGAGAAAAGCCGAAAGTGATCAACACATAATGATGAGCATGGTTGGTTGGTTTGTTGTTTAACGCTGCACTCAGCAATATTCCAGCTATATGACGGCAGTCTGTAAAATAATCGAGTCTGGACCAGACAATCCCGTGATTGCAATTGGGATACGATGACATGCATCAACCAAGTCAGCGAGCCTGACCAAACGATCCCGTTAGTCGCCTCTTAGGACAAGCTCAGTCGCCTTTTAAGGCAAGCATGGGTTGCTGAAGACCTATTCTACCCCAGATCTTCAAGGGTCACTGATGAGCACGGGGATGGAACTCACTGACCAAGGATCATATTAATGTTCGTTCGAGATATGCAGACTAATGGAAAAGCACCCAACTTCCCAAATACACTTTAACTATACCAATTACAATTCAGATTTACAAGTAAAGAAGATGATTTAGCCTGGGGAAGAGTATTTGGCGTCATGGCAGTCATAACTTATTTGTAAACCACAACGGTCAGTCAGTTGGGAGTTCAACTCCAAGCGAGGTTGTGGCAGCCTAGCACAATGAGGGGCTGTGACTAGTGGCAGCAACAGTAAAGAGAGCCCCGCATATGGGCGATTGCTGTGAGCACCTTGGATCGTGCAAGGCTAAGGGACACAACTCCATGCCATCCCTTCACATGAACAAACACAACCTCATAAGTCAGATTAGTCATCGAGAAAAGAAAATAGATTCCTTAAACAGGTTCACAAATGGAAGATTTACAGTCAAACAGGCTGTGTAAGACAGAGGCATTTTGTTGAAGACTTTTCCTCCACAAGCAGCCCATAAGCGAGGGATGCTAGGGACCTACTCTGTAACAGAATCCCCAAGCAAAGGGACACAATCCGATACAAGTGACCTTCAATGTACAACTGACCTTAAATGTTCAGGGGAGACAATCCGATACAACTGACCTTTAATGTACAACTGACCTTCAATGTTCAGGGGAGACAATCTGATACAAGTGACCTTCAATGTACAGGGGACACAATCTGATACAACTGACCTACAATGTACAACTGACCTTTAATGTACAACTGACCTTCAATGTACAAGTGACCTTCAATGTACAAGTGACCTTCAATGTACATGGGAGACAATCCAATACAACTGACCTTCAATGTTCAGGGGAGACAATCTGATACAGTGACCTTCAATGTACAACTGACCTTCAATGTACAACTGACCTTCAATGTACAACTGACCTTCAATTTACGACTGACCTTCAATGTACAAGTGATCTTCAATGTACAACTGACCTTCAACGTACAACTGACCTTCAATGTACAACTGACCTTCAATGTACAACTGACCTTCAATGTACGACTGACCTTCAATGTACAAGTGACCTTCAACGTACAAGTGACCTTCAATGTACAAGTGACCTTCAATGTACAAGTGACCTTCAATGTACAAGTGACCTTCAATGTACAAGTGACCTTCAACGTACAACTGACCTTCAATGTACAAGTGACCTTCAATGTACAAGTGACCTTCAATGTACAACTGACCTTCAATGTACAACTGACCTTCAATGTACAAGTGACCTTCAATGTACAGGGGACACAATCTGATACAAGTGACCTTCAACGCACAGGGGAGACAATCTGATGCAACTGACCTTCAATGTACAGGGGGTTGACGATGTCGTGGTGAAGCAGTTCAAAGTTTTCGTGTCCCATCCAGTGTTCAACATTCCGCTTTCTGCCAGTGAAAAAGTTGTCAACAACAGTAACTTCATGACCTTGGAGCATCAGCTGGTCAACAAGGTGAGACCCCACAAAGCCAGCACCGCCTGTGATCTGAAACAATAATGGCTGAAATTGGCATCTGCTTTTTGATTATGATTGACTCCTAATCAGCAGTTTAAAGTTACTGCATAACCATCGACATATGAAAAATGAATCGCCTGGTGATAAACTAATATTGTCAATGTTTTCTTGATTTTTATGTCCTGTAAGCAAGTCAATAAAACATAAAACAACTTGGAAATATGTTTGCCATGGTGGTGTCTGTCTCTAAGAACTAGCAGACTAGTGGTCGTGTTTTTTCCTGACAACTAGCAGACTAGTGGTGGTGTTTATCCCTGACAACTAGCAGACTAGCGGTGGTGTTTTTCCCTGGCAACTAGCAGACTAGCAGTGGTGTTTTTCCCTGGCAACTAGCAGACTAGCGGTCGTGTTTTTCCCTGGCAACTAGCAGCCTAGCGGTCGTATTTATCCCTGACAACTAGCAGACAAGCAGTTGTGTTTATCCCTGGCAACTAGCAGACTAGTGGTCATGTTTATCCCTGGCAACTAGCAGACAAGCGGTCGTGTTTATCCCTGGCAACTAGCAGACTAGTGGTCGTGTTTATCCCTGGCAACTAGCAGACTAGCGGTGGTGTTTATCCCTGGCAACTAGCAGACTAGCAGTGGTGTTTATCCCTGGCAACTAGCAGACTAGCAGTGGTGTTTTTCCCTGACAACTAGCAGACTAGTGGTCGTGTTTCTCCCTGGCAACTAGCAGACTAGCGGTCGTGTTTATCCCTGGCAACTAGCAGACAAGCGGTCGTGTTTATCCCTGGCAACTAGCAGACTAGCAGTGGTGTTTTTCCCTGGCAACTAGCAGACTAGCGGTCGTGTTTTTCCCTGGCAACTAGCAGACAAGCGGTCGTGTTTATCCCTGGCAACTAGCAGACTAGTGGTCGTGTTTCTCCCTGGCAACTAGCAGACTAGCGGTCGTGTTTATCCCTGGCAACTAGCAGACAAGCGGTCGTGTTTATCCCTGGCAACTAGCAGACTAGCAGTGGTGTTTTTCCCTGGCAACTAGCAGACTAGCAGTGGTGTTTTTCCCTGGCAACTAGCAGACTAGCAGTGGTGTTTTTCCCTGGCAACTAGCAGACAAGCGGTCGTGTTTTTCCCTGGCAACTAGCAGACTAGTGGTCGTGTTTATCCCTGGCAACCAGCTTTGTTTGTTTGTTTGTTTCTTTGTTGTTTAACCCCGCACTTAGCAATATTCCAGCTATATGACTGGTCTGTAAATAATTGAGTCTGGACCAGACAATCCAGTGATTGACATCATGAGCATTGATCCACACAATTGAGATACGATGACATGCAGCAACCAAGTCAGGGAGCCTGACCACCGGATTCCATTAGTTGCCTCTTACGACAAGCATAGTCGCAGAACAGTGACCCCAAAAGGCACTTCCACTCAAACCTTCAGCCGAGGGACCTGTGTAAATCTGGCAGTACATGCAGCTCAAGAGGCACAATATACCAGCCAGAACACAGTATCAGGATATAATTAATTCAAGTCACCCATATGAAAAATGACCATAGGATGACAGATAAAAATATTGCCATATCATTATCACATAATTCGAACATGAATTAGGGAAATACTCGATTTTGATTGCTCAATCAGAAGGATCAAATCATAATAACCACCTCTTACTGAAAGAGTTGATTTGATGACTGCATCACCATGGAAGATAACATCAACAGAAAGGTACTTCTTTCCCAGTCACTGTCAGTGGGCATTTATAAATAATTATATGTACAACTATATGTCATAACATGCAGAGTTGTGGTAACTATAATCTTCAAAGTATGTGTGACAATATATTTTGGGCAGAAAGTAGTCATTTCATTTTCAAAACATCAGAAAGATTGAAATTTTGCGATTTTCTTTGGGGTCCTATTTTCTGCACAAAAGTAGCAGTGGGGCGTCATAAAATAGTGACATGACACACAGAACTAAACCCTCCGGGGCAGCTGAGTTGATTGCGCATCTGTAGGGGTCCCAACTCCACGCTGGCTTGTGAGCGAGTGAGTGAGTAAGTGAGTGAGTGAGTGAGTGAAAACCCACGAGCACGGGTATGGTGCTGACAAACCTAGAAACATAATCTGGGCGAACCTGGATTCGAACCCACAATCATAGGTTTCTGGTGTGCCCAAGGGAAGCAACTCTGCACAGCAAATCGTGGCACCTTAGACGACAAGGCCATCCGTGCCCCCTGCTGGCTTGTGAAGTAGCTGTGCTCACAGACTGTGTTGCTGACCTGATATGACTCAACACACATGGGCCAACATCAATACCACCTGTGCAAAGATTGATGTTATGTGTGTTGTTTAATACTGCACTCATCAATATTCCAGCTATATGATGGCGGTCTGTAAATAATCAAGTCTGGACCAGACAATCCAGTAATTGACATCATGAGCATGCAGGAACCAAGTCAGTGAGCCTGAAAACCTGATTCCATTAGTTGCCTCTTACGACAAGCATAGTCGCAGAACAGTGACCCCAAATGGCACTCTCCACTCAAACCTTCAGCCGAGGGACCTGGGTAAATCTGGCAGTACATGCAGCTCAAGAGGGACAATATACCGGCATAGTCGCCTTTTATGGCAGGCATGGTCAATATGTTCCCGGGTCACCTGTGCAAAGATTTACATATAATCAATAGTCACAATGACTACACATTCCAATCCCGCATGAAAAAACATTCCATACTTTTAGTATTTTACTGCTGGTTAATTTTGTAATCACTCAAACATCTTTAATGGTAGACCTTACCAAAATCCTCTTCCTGTCTTTATAGGTCAAGAACTTCACCTCAGGATAGGTCTTCTTCCTGAAGCAAAGAAACAGGAGTATTGACAAATCCCATAGAGAGACTTTCCAGCCCTTGCACACACACACACAGGAGTATTGACCAATCCCTCATAGAGACTTTCAAGCCTTTGCACACACACAGAGAAGTATTGACCAATCCCATAGAGAGACTTTCCAGCCCTTGCACATGCACACACAGGGGTATTGACCAATCCCATAGAGAGACTTTCCAGCCTTTGCACACACACACACAGGAGTATTGACCAATCCCTCATAGAGGCTTTCAAGCCCTTGCACACACACACACAGGAGTATTGACCAATCCCTCATAGAGACTTTCCAGCCCTTGCACACACACACACAGGAGTATTGACCAATCCCTCATAGAGACTTTCATGCCTTTGCACACACACACAGGAGTATTGACCAATCCCTCATAGAGACTTTCATGCCTTTGCACACACACACACACACAGGAGTATTGACCAATCCCTCATAGATACTTTCATGCCTTTGCACACACACACACACACACAGGAGTATTGACCAATCCCTTATAGAGACTTTCATGCCTTTGCACACACACACACACACAGGAGTATTGACCAATCCCTCATAGATACTTTCATGCCTTTGCACACACACACACACACAGGAGTATTGACCAATCCCTCATAGAGACTTTCATGCCTTTGCACACACACACACACACAGGAGTATTGACCAATCCCTCATAGAGACTTTCATGCCTTTGCACACACACACACACACAGGAGTATTGACCAATCCCTCATAGAGACTTTCATGCCTTTGCACACACACACACACACAGGAGTATTGACCAATCCCTCATAGAGACTTTCATGCCTTTGCACACACACACACAGGAGTATTGACCAATCCCTCATAGAGACTTTCATGCCTTTGCACACACACACACACACAGGAGTATTGACCAATCCCTCATAGAGACTTTCATGCCTTTGCACACACACACACACAGGAGTATTGACCAATCCCTCATAGATACTTTCATGCCTTTGCACACACACACACACACAGGAGTATTGACCAATCCCTCATAGATACTTTCATGCCTTTGCACACACACACAGAAGTATTGACCAATCCCTCATAGAGACTTTCATGCCTTTGCACACACACACAGAAGTATTGACCAATCCCTCATAGAGACTTTCATGCCTTTGCACACACACACAGAAGTATTGACCAATCCCTCATAGAGACTTTCATGCCTTTGCACACACACACAGAAGTATTGACCAATCCCTCATAGAGACTTTCATGCCTTTGCACACACACACAGAAGTATTGACCAATCCCTCATAGAGACTTTCATGCCTTTGCACACACACACACAGAAGTATTGACCAATCCCTCATAGAGACTTTCATGCCTTTGCACACACACACACATAAGTATTGACAAATCCCTCATAGAGACTTTCATGCCTTTGCACACACACACACAGAAGTATTGACCAATCCCTCATAGAGACTTTCATGCCTTTGCACACACACACACAGGAGTATTGACCAATCCCTCATAGAGACTTTCATGCCTTTGCACACACACACACAGAAGTATTGACCAATCCCTCATAGAGACTTTCATGCCTTTGCACACACACACACACACAGAAGTATTGAAAAATCCCTCATAGAGACTTTCATGCCTTTGCACACACACACACAGAAGTATTGACAAATCCCTCATAGAGACTTTCATGCCTTTGCACACACACACACAGAAGTATTGACAAATCCCTCATAGAGACTTTCATGCCTTTGCACACACACACAGAAGTATTGACCAATCCCTCATAGAGACTTTCATGCCTTTGCACACACACACACAGAAGTATTGACAAATCCCTCATAGAGACTTTCATTCCTTTGCACACAGACACACAGGAGTATTGACCAATCCCTCATAGAGACTTTCTAGCCCTTGTACACACACACACACACAGAAGTATTGACCAATCCCTCATAGAGACTTTCATGCCTTTGCACACACACACACAGGAGTATTGACCAATCCCTCAGACTTTCTAGCCCTTGTACACACACACACACACAGAAGTATTGACCAATCCCACATAGAGACTTTCATGCCTTTGCACACACACACACAGAAGTATTGACCAATCCCTCATAGAGACTTTCATGCCTTTGCACACACACACACAGGAGTATTGACCAATCCCTCATAGAGACTTTCTAGCCCTTGTACACACACACACACACACAGAAGTATTGACCAATCCCTCATAGAGACTTTCCAGCCTTTGCACACACACAGAGAAGTATTGACCAATCCCATAGAGAGACTTTCCAGCCCTTGCACATGCACACACAGGGGTATTGACCAATCCCATAGAGAGACTTTCCAGCCTTTGCACACACACACACAGGAGTATTGACCAATCCCTCATAGAGGCTTTCAAGCCCTTGCACACGCACACACAGGAGTATTGACCAATCCCTCATAGAGACTTTCCAGCCCTTGCACACACACACACAGGAGTATTGACCAATCCCTCATAGAGACTTTCATGCCTTTGCACACACACACAGGAGTATTGACCAATCCCTCATAGAAGACTTTCATGCCTTTGCACACACACACACACACAGGAGTATTGACCAATCCCTCATAGATACTTTCATGCCTTTGCACACACACACACACACACACACAGGAGTATTGACCAATCCCTTATAGAGACTTTCATGCCTTTGCACACACACACACACACAGGAGTATTGACCAATCCCTCATAGATACTTTCATGCCTTTGCACACACACACACACACACAGGAGTATTGACCAATCCCTCATAGAGACTTTCATGCCTTTGCACACACACACACACACAGGAGTATTGACCAATCCCTCATAGAGACTTTCATGCCTTTGCACACACACACACACACAGGAGTATTGACCAATCCCTCATAGAGACTTTCATGCCTTTGCACACACACACACACAGGAGTATTGACCAATCCCTCATAGAGACTTTCATGCCTTTGCACACACACACACACACAGGAGTATTGACCAATCCCTCATAGAGACTTTCATGCCTTTGCACACACACACACAGGAGTATTGACCAATCCCTCATAGAGACTTTCATGCCTTTGCACACACACACACACAGGAGTATTGACCAATCCCTCATAGAGACTTTCATGCCTTTGCACACACACACACACAGGAGTATTGACCAATCCCTCATAGATACTTTCATGCCTTTGCACACACACACACACACAGGAGTATTGACCAATCCCTCATAGATACTTTCATGCCTTTGCACACACACACAGAAGTATTGACCAATCCCTCATAGAGACTTTCATGCCTTTGCACACACACACAGAAGTATTGACCAATCCCTCATAGAGACTTTCATGCCTTTGCACACACACACAGAAGTATTGACCAATCCCTCATAGAGACTTTCATGCCTTTGCACACACACACAGAAGTATTGACCAATCCCTCATAGAGACTTTCATGCCTTTGCACACACACACAGAAGTATTGACCAATCCCTCATAGAGACTTTCATGCCTTTGCACACACACACACAGAAGTATTGACCAATCCCTCATAGAGACTTTCATGCCTTTGCACACACACACACAGAAGTATTGACAAATCCCTCATAGAGACTTTCATGCCTTTGCAAACACACACACAGGAGTATTGACAAATCCCTCATAGAGACTTTCATGCCTTTGCACACACACACACAGGAGTATTGACCAATCCCTCATAGAGACTTTCATGCCTTTGCACACACACACACAGAAGTATTGACCAATCCCTCATAGAGACTTTCATGCCTTTGCACACACACACACACACAGAAGTATTGAAAAATCCCTCATAGAGACTTTCATGCCTTTGCACACACACACACACAGAAGTATTGACAAATCCCTCATAGAGACTTTCATGCCTTTGCACACACACACACAGAAGTATTGACAAATCCCTCATAGAGACTTTCATGCCTTTGCACACACACACAGAAGTATTGACCAATCCCTCATAGAGACTTTCATGCCTTTGCACACACACACACAGAAGTATTGACAAATCCCTCATAGAGACTTTCATTCCTCTGCACACAGACACACAGGAGTATTGACCAATCCCTCATAGAGACTTTCTAGCCCTTGTACACACACACACACACAGAAGTATTGACCAATCCCTCATAGAGACTTTCATGCCTTTGCACACACACACACAGGAGTATTGACCAATCCCTCAGACTTTCTAGCCCTTGTACACACACACACACACAGAAGTATTGACCAATCCCTCATAGAGACTTTCATGCCTTTGCACACACACACACAGAAGTATTGACCAATCCCTCATAGAGACTTTCATGCCTTTGCACACACACACACAGGAGTATTGACCAATCCCTCATAGAGACTTTCTAGCCCTTGTACACACACACACACACACAGAAGTATTGACCAATCCCTCATAGAGACTTTCTAGCCCTTGTACACACACACACACACAGAAGTATTGACCAATCCCTCATAGAGACTTTCATGCCTTTGCACACACACACACAGGAGTATTGACCAATCCCTCATAGAGACTTTCATGCCTTTGCACACACACACACACACACACAGGAGTATTGACCAATCCCTCATAGAGACTTTCATGCCTTTGCACACAGACACACAGGAGTATTGACCAATCCCTCATAGAGACTTTCATGCCTTTGCACACACACACACAGGAGTATTGACCAATCCCTCATAGAGACTTTCATGCCTTTGCACACACACACACACACACAGAAGTATTGACAAATCCCTCATAGAGACTTTCATGCCTTTGCACACAGACACACAGGAGTATTGACCAATCCCTCATAGAGACTTTCATGCCTTTGCACACACACACACAGGAGTATTGACCAATCCCTCATAGAGACTTTCATGCCTTTG